AATTGAAACTATGGTTACAATTAATTCTTTAACTTTTTATTTAAATAGGAGGGTATATTTTTTATTTCACAACTTTTTATTCAGAAATTGGATAAAAGTGGATATAAATGATGGTTTGCCAAATAAATGTATAATTAAGGGTGGAAATATCAAAAAAATAAAATATATGGACTTTTTTGCAGTAATATTGAAAGATGTGGACATTATGCGCTAATTACCCTTCTAATAATTTATTTGAGACTCATTTGTACTTTTCAAAAAAAAATGAGGCTATAATTGTAATTAATTTTTTTCTTTTTTCTATTAATTTATTTAAAAATAAGGGTATATTTGTCATTTCACAATTTTTAATTGAGAAAATAGATAAGAATGACCATTTGAGCAATGAAATATAGAAATAATGGTAAAAATGTCAAAAAATGAAAGATAAGAACGTTATCCACAATAAATAGTGAAATGTGGGGATGGTTTGTGCTAATTACCCAAAATTTTAAAGTTGACTTTAAGTAGTAAAATTATACGGTTCAATTTGGAAGAATTATTATGTGGAGCATGTTGCGCGTATAGTTTCATTTTTATTTCTTACTGATAAGGCATCTAGTTTTGTTATCTTTTCCGAAGTCTCAAATCTAAAGGGGAACTTTTTTGAAAATTGTTGTACATTTATTAATCCTAAATTTATACCGTTTTGCAATTTTATCAAATATTTTACATAAGTTTATTATAAGTGGTTTCTCCCATAATTTTTTCATTTTTTATTTTCATAAAAGGTCTTTTTAGACAATTGTCTCCATCTAAAATGGTTTCCTAGAAAGAAGTTATAAAATCACTGTATGAGTTCGTTGTCTACGATTAGCTGAAAATAAAAAAGTTACAATTGATGAGCAAAAAAATTTCTTAGTTGTTTACATTTAAGGGTCCGTTTGGTTGCAAGAATGGAATTAGGTGAAAAGAAAATGAATTTTAGGGAATTAAATTGTCTAGAACTTGTTTTACTGGAAATTATCAATTAATTGTGTTTGATTGATATAATTTTTAACTTTGAAAATATTGAAATTTTGAATCTTTTGATATTCGTTTAATTTTGTTTTTTATGAAAATTGTCAATTAAAGGAATATAATTTGTTTCCATTGCAAAAATAAAATAAAAAAAATAATAATAATTTTAAAAATGGTTACCTAGAAAAGCTTTTCTCACCAAACTCATGGGAAAAGATTTTCCTCAAAAATCAAGAAAATGTGAAAAATCAATTCCATGAAAAATTTAGTCAATCAAACATGCATAAATGTGGAAATGGAATTTAATTTCCATCTTCCATGAAAAAGAAAGCCAAATCAAACAGGGTCTAAACAAAATTTGTATATAGGATTCTGATAGTTCAGTAGAAAGAACAAGAAAATAAATTGAATTCTCATATATATAACTCGCTCTTGATTATGAAAAAGAAAATCAAACTCAACAGTCCAAAACCTCACAGTGTCCACACTACACCAATTCAATCTTCTGCTGTCGATATAAATGCAGCAAAGTGAGCGTATGTCGGTGTTTTCTAATCTATGAAACAAACTAACCTCCGCATAGCAAATGATCACTTGAAACCAGGCAAATACAACTGACGCATTCAATTCAAATACTAGCGTGACTAAATACGCAACAAAAATGAAAAAAAAAAAAAATCAACTTCAAGAATTGAATAAAGCGAACTTTGATCTGTGACCTAATATTGAAAATTCCAAAGTTAATGCTCAATTAAAAATATGCATTGAAGTTGAAAAACCTTAATCGAAACTTACGTCGGTAGAAATGTTGGATCCAAACATAGCCATTTTCGCCGAAGAATTTGATTCACAAAAATTCAGACTGTTTTCTCAATTTCTAAACGCCATTCTTACAAGAGGCGAGGTTGTAGATAATTAACGCAAAGCAGCGTCGTTTTATGGATTAATTTTCAAATTTTTGTGTAAAGTCCCCCCTGTTTCTTAAAAATCTGGATAAGTCCCCGCAGAGAAGAGAATTTGCAAATAGTGCCCAAAGTTGGTTTATTTCTTCGTCTTTTGTGCACTCTGGTCCCTGTGGATTCATGATTTATCCATTCAACTTTGGCAAAAGCATCCCTAAATCAACTTTTCCTTGCAAGAGTGGTCCTTTCCCACTGAATTGGCGGTTAAAACTTAAAATGGGTCAATTAGAGAATGTTCTTTTTTTCCCATGAATGCAAATATCTAAAGATATGCATTTAAGAGCACTTCTAAGAGACTATTTGTAAAAAAAATCTTACACTCCAATAATGCTTTATTTTTACCTCTTTATTTTATTTTATTTTTACAAAAAAACATAGCTCCAATTGGTGGAAATTAAAATCTGATTTTTAGTATATTTTGATAGAAATTAATGAAATATATAATTGAAAAGTTGTGAATTTCTTAAAATGTATTATTAAAATTAATTGTTGACTTTGACTTGAATTAAAATCTTGATTTTTATTTCCACTAAACAGGGGCATATTGTCTTTCCTCATTTTTTTTAATTAATATATATTTTTAAATGTCAATGGTCAACAAACTAAAATATAACTTAAACAATTTAAGACATAGAAAGCTAGCCCCTTAAGCTTCCCACGTCGATACCAAAAGGACTGCACTGAAATTTGTAAATTATCAAATTCATTTATTATTAAGTAAAAATGGACTTGCTCTCTATTTTAAAGGTTAAAAATATAGAGTTATTTGGAACCCAGTTTTAAGTTCATTTTAGAGGGGCTAGATGAAATTCTGGAAATTGCATGTTTAAAAGGCAAGCCAATGAAAATTTTAAGGGTAATTAGTACATAACGTTCCCATATTTCATTGTTATTGGGGAAAACGTTCTTATCTTTCATTTTTTTTTATATTTTCACCCTTATTTCCACATTTCATTGTGCAAAATGTCATTTTCACGTATTTTCTCAATTATAAATTATGAAAGGACGAATATACCCCTCTCTTTAAATAAAACAAAAAGAAAATGAAAAAATTAATTACAATCACAGTCCATTTTTTTTTTTAAAAAAAAGTACATATAAGTAACAAATAAATTATTAAAATAGTAATTAGTACATAATGTTTATATCTTTCACTGTTATTGCGAAAAGCGACCATACTTTTCATTTTTGGCATTTGCACCTTTAATTACACATTTAATTATGCAAACCATCATTTCCATCCATTTTCATCAAAATTTTCAATAAAGAATTGTGAAATAATGAATACACCTTCCTATTTAAATAAAAAAAATATTATTATTTTTTTATAATTCTTTAATAATTTATTTAGGATTCGTTTGCACTTTTTAATTTTTTTAATTTTTTAATAAATTTAATTGGGACTCGTTT